TAATCAAAACCAGCATAGTGGATAGCAAAATGGGCAGTCTAATAAAACATATCACAATTTCCCATTCACGGGGTGAGGGGTGGTGATGATGGCATTTCATGCGTGGCAACTAACTATTCTTATAGAGGGCTTCCTAGATTTTACTAAGGGAAAAAGTCTCGGGATCAACTTTAATGAACAGATTTGATTTATTTGTAGTTGGCACATTGTTTGAAATACTTTAAGCACCTGATTGCCTGAAGGAAATCTGCCTGTGAGAGAGCTTAATCACACCACTGGCAGCGTAGTTTGACTGATAACTGTCCTACTCCTAGGGCCACTATCGAGAGGTTAAAAGGCAAGTGTCCCCTGATCTCTAGGATTTCAAAAACCTTACATTTGTGAAATCTAAATTCCCATAATTGTACATGAGACTATGACAGTCATGAACTGCAAAGATTTATACTCCAATATTATTCTGATGGAAAGATATTTGCTGAACACTGGAGAGATGGTTCAGTGGGTGAGAGTGCTTGCTGTGCAAGCATAAGGATCTGAGTTCAAGTCCCCCAGGACCTATGAAAACCTGGGTATGGCCATGCACACAGTGGAGATGGAAGAATTGCTAGGGTTACTGGCTATCAGTCTAACTCTAGATTCAGTGACAGACCCTGGGTGAATATGGGAATATGGCTGAGAGTGACAGAACAGGGCACCTGATGTCCTCCTCTAGCTTTCACATATATGTACCAGCAAGCACACCTGCACACCACACACATACACACACCACATACATACCAGACAAACATAAACACACACACACACACACACACACACACACAAATATGTTAGTTGAGACAGGGTTTCTACCATGTATCTGGGTAGATAAGGATTGTATTAGTTACTTTTCTCATTGCTGCAACAAAAAACCTGACAAAAGCAACTTAAGGAAGGAAAGGCTTATACTGGCTCACAGTTTAGGGGAGCACAGTTAACCTCATGGAAGTCATAGCAGCATGGAGTTCAAAGCAAACCGTCATACTGTGTGTACAGTCAGGAAGTAGAGAGCAGACAGAAAGTGGGGCTAGGCTTTAAAACCTCAAGGTCTACCTCCCTTTACACATTTCATGCAGTGAGGATCCACTTCCTAGTTCCACAACCTTCTAAAACAGCACCTCCATCTGGAGGCTAAGAGTTCAAACACACAAGCCTATAAGGGTATTTTATCCATACCATAGCACCCACCATGCAGAATATGGGTAAAACTATGGCTCTCTGCCAGTGGCTACCTGCTAGTATGCTTATATTTCAGGGCTTCTGTTTTCCACATGCTGCCCCAATAGCATGCCAGATTTGGCTTCACAGAGAGGAGTTTCATGGGAAATATTACTTAGACTTTGCTTCCAACCACCCTGAAGATCAATACATCTCAACAATGCCCCCAAATGCCACACTCATAATCTGCTGTTACAATGTGGGACTTTGGAAAAGGGAAATGTCCTGTTCAGCCACAGTCTTTATTACTTTCAAGACCAGCTGTTTTCCATTATCAGAAGCAGATAAGGAACACTGGCAGCCATTTGTCATTCAAAACAGTTAACTCAGCTGGATGTGGATGAAAACCATCATGTGGTGAGCTTTTTTTTTTTTTAAATACAATAATAAAGTCACAATTCAAGGTCAGAGAAAATTCAAATGCATTTTCATTGAGTTGCTCAGCTCTTGGATAGGATGGGGAGACAATTTCCCAACAGTGACTGTGGCTTTCTAATACATCCTTTTGCCTTAGAGACAGAAGCACCAGCCTGGCATCACTTTCACCTCCAATGATAATTACTGTGGACATCACCAACCTAGAGATTTTAATTCCATCTCCAGGCAAAAATTTCTTAACCTTATTCTTATGTAATTAACCCTGTCTCATAAGACATAAGCAGGTCTGTGTGTGGTGGAAACAGGTCATTTAAAAAGTGGCAACTGGGTTGGAGAGATGGCTCAGAAGTTAAGAGTGGATACTATGCTTGCAAGTGCTGGGGTTCAAGTACCCACATCAGGCAGCTCACAACAGCCTATAACTCCAGCTCCAGGGGATCTGATACTCGATGCCCTCTTCTGTTCTCCATAGACACATTCTCTCTCTCTCTCTCTCT